ATGCTGTCACATGGGCCTTGTCGATCTCTCTCTCTCTCTCTCTCTCTCTCTCTCTCTCTCTCTCTCTCTCTCTCAGCTTTGTGAGATGAGTTTCATTCACAGTTCACATTGATTTCATAGTCTCACACAGACAAAGATCACTGGCTCCTCTTCAACTATAAAGCCAAATGGAGAATGACTGTAAGTACAGTACAGTACTGACAGTACAGTTGGCTTTTAAGGATAGTGGCCATGTAGATGAAAATGTGCAGGCTTATCATGTTACATCTAAAGTGCTCTGAGAGCAAATCCACTCCATTCATTTCACTGAATGCAATAGTTGTATGGCTTGTCAGGGGTATAGGAACCATTATAACAAGAGTGTTTTAATAAATTCAAAAGCTTTTTAGATTTGGAAAATAATCATAAGATTTTAAAGGGGACATCGGATGCCCATTTTCCACAAGTTGGTATGATTCTTTAGGGTCTTCATGAAATGTCTGCAGCATTCTTTGGTTAAAATTCCTGAATGGTCGTGTAAAATGGCTCAATGGCCTTTTTACTTGGTCAAAAACAGCTCTGTTCACAGCGACCTGTTTTGGTGCATGGCTCTTTAAATGCTGATGAGCTCTGCTTACCCCGCCCCTCTCTTCCATGGAAGAGGAAAGGTGATTTGCAAATAAAAAAAGGGTGTTGTTTTACACGACCATTGGGAAATTTTAATCAAAGTATGTTGCAGACATTTCATGAAGACCCTAAAGGATCATACCAACTTGTGAAAAATGGGCATCCAATGTTCCTTTTAATGATTCAAGGTGATAGGTGTATAAAATGGCCCCTTCACTTTTTTAGTTCATTTTTACGCAAGTGATTTTATTCAGTGTCTCTATTAGCCTCAAATTGATTGCATATGATTCTCAGAGAGGCCTAATTTTTCATACTGTGATTATACTGAGTGTGAAATTTGCGCTTTATATAATTTGTTACATTGTATAAAAGCATACTGGATTAAAATTGCACTAAGCAATTTACAAATTTAAAATACACTACCATTCAAAAGTTTGGTATCAGAAAGATTTGTTGTTGTTGTTGTTGTTGTTGAAAGGAAGTATTACTTTAGGTCAGCAAGGTCCCACCAGTTGGTCAAAAGTGATTGTAAAAAAACATTTATAATGTTAAGAATTCTATTTTAAATAAATGCTGTTCATTTTAACCTTTTCATTATCAAAAAATCCTGAAAAATATTAATGTATCAGTTTTATTAAGCAGTACACTGATTCTCAGAGAGGCCTAATTTTTCATACTGTGATTATACTGAGTGTGAAATTTGCGCTTTATATAATTTGTTACATTGTATAAAAGCATACTGGATTAAAATTGCACTAAGCAATTTACAAATTTAAAATACACTACCATTCAAAAGTTTGGGGTCAGAAAGATTTGTTGTTGTTGTTGTTGTTGTTGAAAGGAAGTATTACTTTAGGTCAGCAAGGTCCCACCAGTTGGTCAAAAGTGATTGTAAACAAACATTTATAATGTTAAGAATTCTATTTTAAATAAATGCTGTTCATTTTAACCTTTTCATTATCAAAAAATCCTGAAAAAATATTAATGTATCAGTTTTATTAAGCAGTACAACTGTTTTCAACATTGCTAATAATTAAAAATGTTTCTTGAGCAGCAATTCAGCACATCAGAATGATTTACTGTATGAAGAAACGTGGCTGAAATATATTAAAATAGAAAAGTAATTTTCAATTATAATAGTATTTTTAAATATTACTGTTTTTCAAATAAATGTAGCCTTTGTGGGCATAAGAGTTATTTAAAAAAACACACAAATATCTTACACACCAACGTTGTGATTCAAATGTTGTCATGCTCTATTGTTTGAGATACAGGAAACGATTTCCCTGATTGTATGTGTGCTGATATTTCTCTCTGTTGCAGTACCCTGGCTGGAGCCAAATGGAAGATGGGAGCATTCGAGTGTCTGAGGTGACAGAGGACTCTCTCGGCACCTACACCTGCGTGCCTTACAATAGCCTCGGTACAATGGGACAGTCCCCTCCCGCTCCTCTGGTGCTAAAGGTAAAGAATTAAACTTGTAGGTTTTATTTGAACTACCTTTACCGTGTTTACCTTTTTTATTATATCATGTATTTGCATCAATATAATGTGTTGCTTGGCGATGGACAGGACCCACCCAAATTTCTGGTGGTTCCTGGAGGGGAGTACAGGCAGGAGGCTGGTCGAGAGCTGGTCATCCCCTGTGAGGCAGAAGGAGACCCATTCCCCAATATTACATGGAGAAAGGTAAGCCGTATCCTTAAGGATCCTTAAGTAGGATCCTGTATTATTGTCAACCCAACTGAAGCGTTTGCTAGAACTGTTTTCTTTTATTGGAGAAGGTAGGGAAGCCCAGCAGAAGCAAGCACAACGTCCTACCACGAGGCAGCTTACAGTTCAAATCTCTCAGCAAGGAGGACCATGGGGAGTGGGAGTGTGTCGCCTCCAATGTCGCCACGAGCATCACTGCCAGCACGCACCTCCTAGTAATCGGTATGAGGCGTTGAGACAAATAGCGCAACCCCATGATGCACAAACACGACTTGCGATAAAGTGATTTTTCCATACAGTGATGAATTTTGATCATATTAGATCAAAGAGTGTTAAAGATGTTATTTTCGTTAAAGGTGCACAAAGATTTTAGTTTATATTTTGCAGGACAACAGTGGTCTTTGACTCTGGGTTCCCACAGTCCTGGAAAATCTAACATATTAGGGAATTTTTTAAAAGTCATGGAAATTTCTATATTGAATATATATTTTTCTACTTATCTGATGTAAAATACTTTTTGGCTAATTATTATTTCTGTGCTTCAGTGTTATTTTAGTATATTAGTATATATTTTTTGTTATTTTTTTATACTATTATACATTTTTTGAATTACCTGTTATTTTTATATTTTCAGTTCATATTAATTTTAGCATATGTTTTAGTCATTTTGTTATGTACTTTTGGAGTTTATTTTTTATATTTCTATTTAAATTATTATTATTTTTTTAAACTTTTTTTTCAGTTTGTTGCCAAGGCAGCATTTCTAATTTTCAGTTTTTTGAGATGTAGTTTTTCATGTAGTATTTTATAAATACTAAGAATTTATTTTATTTCAGCTTTATTTTAGTTATTATAATTTTATTTATTGTAATAGTTTTAGTTTTAGCATTAACTGCTGTTCACTAAAACTTTGTTGAACAAATTATTCTTTCAAGGACTTTTGTTTCAGTGAGTTGGTCTAACAGGTCCACAAATCAGTCTAAATGACTGTTTCAAATTGTCTAAAAAAAAATAAATAAAAACTAGCCTGTGTTTTGCTCACCCTCAAAGCATCCTAGGTGTATGTGACGACTTTCAGACGAATCCAGTTGGAGTTATATTAAAAATTGTCCTGGCCCCTCCAAACCTTTAAATGGGGGTAAGCGGGTGTTGGTTGTCAACAGTTCAGAAGACGTGAAATAAAGTGCGTGCATCCATAATAAAACGTCCCTCACACTGCTCCGGGGGGTGAATAAAGGCCTCCTGTAGCGAATCCATGAGTTTTTGTAAGATAAATATCCATATTTAAAATGTAATAAACACTTTTTTCTCACTTCTGCTTCACATTAATAGCACATACTTGTCAAAAGTATCAATTTTTGTGTAAAGATTACTTGCTATTGCTATTTAGCTACTGCAGTATCTTACATTGAAGTATATGCACATGCAGTCTTAAACTCTAATCTTATAGGATATAGCTTATAAATTCAATAGAGGAAAGTAGTGCAAATGCTAACGTCCTCATGGTCTCTTTCTATTAGTGGCTAGTGCAGCTGTAGACTGCCAGCTCAGTCCTTATATTGCTGCCCACTGTTTTGGCATGTCCAGTGTGCTATTGGATGTGTTTGGATTTATGTGGCTGCAGTGAAACTGTCCGTTAAAGAAACTTTTTGGGTCGCTGGTTAGCAGCTAAGCAGCAGCTGCTAGGTTAAACTGTTAGCTATTTGAGTTCCTCTCAAAAAGCTCTCTGTACAAAAGTCCTTCGGTAAGTCGGGAAACACAGTGTCTGTTTGTGTTAGTGCAAGTGTTTGTGTTAAGACAAGTGAGCGAGGGCTTTTTACAGACGTTTTATGGAAATAAAATATGTGGCTTTAGCTTTTGCATACAAGTGTGTGTTTATATTGAGTGTGACACGAGTTGTCCTCCTCCCACAGGCACAAGCCCACACGCTCCCGCCAAAGTCCACGTTTCGGTCTCGACGACCTCGGCCAACGTCTCGTGGGAACCCGGTTACGACGGCGGCTTTGAGCAGACATTCTCAGTCTGGTACGGCCATGTGTGAGTCATCCCAGCATGCTTTGCTTTCTGCTTCTTTTCCTAACTATTGACTTGAGCTCTGCTGCTGCTGTGAGGCTGCTACATCTGGGGGCAATGGGGCAAAACCTTTCCCCCTAGGGGTGAGATGACCAGCAGGGCCCTCCGATCTTGAGTCAGACACACTGTTAATATTAATGTCAGTGCAGCTAAAATGTTAAGAGTTTTAATTATGAGTATAATATCATGGTCAGGACTCTTTATATGGCATATAATACATTTCTAGTTTTATGTAACGTTCTTCAAACTAAACTCTTGTTCATAACTTCCAAATAACTTCATACTGGAAGTCTTTAACAAAGATAATCATTCCATGAGTAGTCTAGATTCACTGTTTTCTTTATTGAGTTTTTTTGTTCTACAAGCAGTTAGCTAGCATGTTGGCCGTGTTAATGAGGCTCATAATGATAGAATTGGAATGGCATGATCAGGCAGTAAAATCTCTCCACAGAGTCGTTCTGAGTCGAGCTGCATGCAAAGTACCTTATTAAGTTGACAAGACAATTTTGGTGTTGTGTGCAGTTCGACTGCTTTTTAAACACTTCAGCACACTAAAAATAATGACATATTTATGTGATTTAAAAGGAACAGTCTGCTGCTGAGTCTGGCGTGCCATCGGTTGTAACATTTGTTATGGAAAACACATTTATATTAGGGTAAGGTGTTTTTTTTTATTATAGTTTAATGTCAAGAACCCCTTTCCTAAAACATAAAGGCAGCTCTATATTTTTATGTATGCAGAACCATTCATACTATGAGAAAAAATTATAGTATTGTTCACCCAAAAATGAAAGTTGTCATCATTTAATTTAATTTGATTGTTTATATATTACTATATAGTTTACATTTGAATTTTAGTTTAAGTTCTAGTAATTATGTTATGTGCTTTTGTCACTTTTGTTTTGTCACTTTTTTAAATATTCTATTTAGCTTTAATTTATTTTACATTTAAAATTTATTTTAAGTTTTAGTATTTCAACTTATTTCAGTTAGTTGCCACGGGAACATTCTTCTGCCAAGAAGTTCTTTTTCAAAAGAAATGTAAGTTTCTGTGCATATAATAGAGCAACATGAGTGTAAGTAAATGATGACAAAATTTTCAATTTTAGGTGATCGACTTTTTTTTAGGTGACCCTGTAGAGCATATAAAGACAATATAAATGTCTGGGTAATATTTATTTTGAATGAAGTTAACAGTATATCTTTGTTTCAACCCAAGTTTCCAAAACTTTTTGTTCCAAAACTTTTTTTTATTGGTAAAATAAAATAATCTCATGATTTCTGACCAGTGAAGCGGAATGAAACTGTAATTTTAGGGATGCACGATATTGGATTTTTGCCGATATGCCAATATTTTTCAACACATAGCAGATGCTGATACCGATATATTTCCTTTTATTTGGAAATAAAACTAAGTCTCTCCTGTGCAGAAATGATAAGCAAATTATTTTTAATTTTGGTTAGTTTTTAACAAGAATTTATTTGTTAGAATTAAATAAACATTAATGAAGTTCGTTTATAATGACAGTACACTGAATATTTGAAAATAACTATAAATAAACTATATTCAAATGCTGCATTTTTTTTCAGAAAGATGCAGTGGTAACCTTAACATTTTATTTTAAGATCTAACATTTGTAAATGGTCTAAAGCAAAAATCTTTTAGAGCTCATAATTTGTTTAAAAAAATACAACATATACAACATATTACACATTAATGAATAAATCAGTATATATACAATTATTTAATTTAAGTGTCATTTTTGTGATTTATTTTTCATGTAAGCTATACATTCAAAACATACTCATGATTTTATGGCATCAATTACTGCTTTATAAACAGTCTATTTGTGTATTTTGCTTTCGTTTTATTAGAAGTAGGCCAACAGTGCCCCCTACGGAATTAAACATCCTTACTGAGCGGGCTTTAGGGCCCGGGGGAGGCTGCCGCTGCTGCCACTGCCTCTGCTATTACTATTTACTCTATCATACACCGAACGTGTATGTGCTTTCTCAGTTTAAATGCAGTGATCCAAAACAGTGAATCTAATCATCATTCAGGCAAAACTGCTTCAAGAATGAGCCACACTGCTGACGTGATCTAATCGCACAGTTGACGTGATCTAATCGCTAGCACACCCTGAGCACATGTGAGTTAATGTATTCCTCTTATCAGAAAGACATATCGGCATCATTTTTCATATCCGGTATTGGTCCGATAATATCGTGCATCCCTAAGTAATTAAATTAGCTAAATATTTACATTTACATTTAACAGACTCTTTTATCCAAAGGGACTTACAAATATTTTAAACAAAATAATTTATTATGTTATTGCGTATGATTTTTGTCACTTGGTCATAATTTGGATTAATTGCAGGAAGCAACATATTGTAAATGTTAATCATAATATAGAAAAAATCAAATGACATTTTCTAAACAATGTTAAGTACAGTAGAACTTCTCAGATGTGAACCTCCAGTTTGTACATACAGTACATTATGAAGGCCTTAAAGAGATTCTGATGATTCTTATGCATGAAAAGTAAATATTGATGTAAAGACTTTGTCTTGTCCCCACTCGTGATATAACGTGGGCAGGGAGGAACACACAACCTATAACGTGGCTTGCACCCCTTTGCATGCTTTGTCTTAGCGTGGGCTTTAGACATAGCTGCTTATAAGTCTTTTACCAAAAATAGACAGACAACAATAAATATGACTGACACACACAGAGCGCTTCGCTGAATGACAGAAAACTGACGCGGGCTCCGCCGCACGTGCTTTTATAGCTTCCTGGTCATGACGTCATCCGCCGTGACGTCCCGTTCAGCTATTGGACTGATTTCACATACGATTCAGAGCGTGGATCGCGGAAGGCGTTCCCCTAGCGTTTGTCGACGCAGCTCGAGTTCCTGAAGAGGAAGTAAATATTGATGTAAAGACTTTGTCTTTTGCCTTCTCGCAGTTCAGTGATATTTTGCAGTTTTGATATTTTAACCATACCACCAGAAAACCAACTATATTGCAAGTAAGTATTTACTGTATCATAATTTAAAAAGTTTTCATTACTTGCTTTGGTAAGGTGACAGCCAGGGTTTAAAGAGGTGCCACTGAGGTACTTTTGTTAATGACTTGATCCATAATGGCAAGCTCTTGCTTCTGGCTTAATCAGCAGCACGTTCGTCTCCTTGTTCAGTCATCTCCTCCGCCTCTCTTCATCTCTCTGCCGCCCATGCCAGCGCTTCTGCATCTCTGTGATTCTGCTCCCTGTGTGGCGCTGTCCTCTTCGATATTCACCCGGAATATCAGCAGCATTCTATAGCTCTCTGTGCTCCTGCCCCTATAGAATGTCACATGCTTCGCAATAACCTTTGTTTGTTTGCTTCGGTGGGTACGGGCAAGAACATCTCAATCATTTGACTTTAAATCTCCTTCAAACTCTGTCTTTGTTAGCCATATTTGGTACTTACTCATTTTAGAACATATTTCTGCAATGTCACACCAGGTGTCTGATGGCAGCAGTGTTTCATGGGAATGTAGCATGAACAGGTTTAGCCCGTTGCAAGCCCTGGAGACCGATTTCACTCCGTTTTGAGCTATAAATTGTCATGAAATTTAGTTTGAGAGTTTAGAGACACGCATGACTGTTATATGGAGGAAAAATGGATTATATGGCCTGGGAAGAGAAGTGTGTGTATAAATAGGCCTATATACTATGCATTTTCAGCACTGCTCTCGTTGTGTTCTGTCTTCCATTTCCACAGCACGAAGGTAAGATATTACGAATTTATGAATGAACTGGTCGTTTTAAAATCGTCCTGGTCTACTGACATTTGTTTTGACATCCGCTTCAAACGTTACAATGCTTATGATACCTTTCATTAACTCTACAGTAAGTAAATCCACTTCAGCAGCTAATTACTCTTCAACAGCGATCCTATAGAAATATATAAAGCTATTGCAAAAACGGAAGTTAAAGCACAAAGTTCTAAAGATGGCTGCACACTTGTTTCTCTGATGCTTAAGTCTATATATGTATACACTACGCTTCAAAAGTTTGGGGGTCGGTACGTTTTTTTTTTTAAGAAGTCTCTTATATGCTCACCAAGAATGCATTTGTTTAATTAAATATACAGTATAACAGTAACAATTTTTTTTTTTAAATATTATTACAATTTAAAATAACTGTTTTATATTTTAATATATTTTAAAATGTAATTTATTCCTGCCATGGCAAAGCTGAATTTTCAGCATCTGTTACTCTACGTCTTCAGTGTCACGTGACAGAAATCATTCTAATATGCCGAGTTTGTACTTAAGAAACATTTGTTATTCTTATAAATGTTGAAAACAGTTGTCGCAGTTCAGTGATATTTTGCAGTTTTGATATTTTAACCATACCACCAGAAAACCAACTATATTGCAAGTAAGTATTTACTGTATCATAATTTAAAAAGTTTTCATTACTTGCTTTGGTAAGGTGACAGCCAGGGTTTAAAGAGGTGCCACTGAGGTACTTTTGTTAATGACTTGATCCATAATGGCAAGCTCTTGCTTCTGGCTTAATCAGCAGCACGTTCGTCTCCTTGTTCAGTCATCTCCTCCGCCTCTCTTCATCTCTCTGCCGCCCATGCCAGCGCTTCTGCATCTCTGTGATTCTGCTCCCTGTGTGGCGCTGTCCTCTTCGATATTCACCCGGAATATCAGCAGCATTCTATAGCTCTCTGTGCTCCTGCCCCTATAGAATGTCACATGCTTCGCAATAACCTTTGTTTGTTTGCTTCGGTGGGTACGGGCAAGAACATCTCAATCATTTGACTTTAAATCTCCTTCAAACTCTGTCTTTGTTAGCCATATTTGGTACTTACTCATTTTAGAACATATTTCTGCAATGTCACACCAGGTGTCTGATGGCAGCAGTGTTTCATGGGAATGTAGCATGAACAGGTTTAGCCCGTTGCAAGCCCTGGAGACCGATTTCACTCCGTTTTGAGCTATAAATTGTCATGAAATTTAGTTTGAGAGTTTAGAGACACGCATGACTGTTATATGGAGGAAAAATGGATTATATGGCCTGGGAAGAGAAGTGTGTGTATAAATAGGCCTATATACTATGCATTTTCAGCACTGCTCTCGTTGTGTTCTGTCTTCCATTTCCACAGCACGAAGGTAAGATATTACGAATTTATGAATGAACTGGTCGTTTTAAAATCGTCCTGGTCTACTGACATTTGTTTTGACATCCGCTTCAAACGTTACAATGCTTATGATACCTTTCATTAACTCTACAGTAAGTAAATCCACTTCAGCAGCTAATTACTCTTCAACAGCGATCCTATAGAAATATATAAAGCTATTGCAAAAACGGAAGTTAAAGCACAAAGTTCTAAAGATGGCTGCACACTTGTTTCTCTGATGCTTAAGTCTATATATGTATACACTACGCTTCAAAAGTTTGGGGGTCGGTACGTTTTTTTTTTTAAGAAGTCTCTTATATGCTCACCAAGAATGCATTTGTTTAATTAAATATACAGTATAACAGTAACAAATTTTTTTTTTAATATTATTACAATTTAAAATAACTGTTTTATATTTTAATATATTTTAAAATGTAATTTATTCCTGCCATGGCAAAGCTGAATTTTCAGCATCTGTTACTCTACGTCTTCAGTGTCACGTGACAGAAATCATTCTAATATGCCGAGTTTGTACTTAAGAAACATTTGTTATTCTTATAAATGTTGAAAACAGTTGTGCTGCTTAATATTTTTGTGGAAACCGGATACATTTTTTTCAGGATTCTTTGATGAATGGAAAGTTAAAAAGAGCAGCTTTTATTTGAAATAGGAATATTTTGTAGTAAAAGTCTTTACTCTCTTGTTTAATGCATACTTGCTGAATAAAAAAAAAAAAGCTTACCGACCCTAAACTTTTGAACAGTACAGAAAATGTTTGACCTCTGTCATTGCCAACAAAGTGTATATAACAAAGTATTGAGATGAAATTTTGTTATTGACCAAATACTTATTTTCCACCATAATTTGCAAATAAATTCTTTAAAAATCCTACAATGTGATTTTCTGGATTTTTTTTTCTCATTTTGTCTCTCATAGTTGAGGTATACCTATGATGAAAATTACAGGCCTCTCTCATCTTTTTAAGTGGGAGAACTTGCACAATTGGTGGCTGACTAAATACTTTTTTCCCCACTGTATGTATGTATGTTAAGTCAGGAATATGCAGCTACATTGCGGCTACATGCAAGGCACCCAATTTATGATTTTCTGCTTGAATCTGATTTATTATTAAAGTCTTAAGGCTTTTTAATCATTCTTTTTTTTTTAGTTCTGTATATACAAGCGCTAGTAGTCTTTTTTTTTTTTTTTGCAATAGACATTGCAACTTGCAAGTCTAACTGAAAGAATCATGGCATATATTAATATATGCATATATATTTTTGTTGTGGTTTATTTTGTTGTTTGTTGTCTACTTCATGCTAAGGATGAATAACATGCAATTATTTAAAAAAATATATGTGGCATTAGATTGAAAAAACTGACGAGAATTCTCACCCGAAAGTTCAGAGTCTGTACTGAGTACTAACATGGATCCTTCCACTAATGCCACAATCCACACATGCAAAAGCTAAAGAAGAATAGAAGCCCCATGGAGGATGAAAGCATGTTAATCCTCACCCAAGGGCCAGACTTTCCTCACCGTTATGCTTCCGACTTCTTAGATCATCATTTTCCTCTGGTCTGATGTGTCCGTGTGATCGGAGGCCTAAAAGAGCTGACTAAAGGTGTCATTTGAAGCATTGGGCAGTGTGACTCATGCTTTAAAGGTTGTGTGTGAATGGCCTTTAAAGGTGACCCACGTGAGATTAAACAACAGCTTCCATCAGCCTCGTTGACGCAGATAGTTGGCGTGTTCCTGCTACTTCCTGTGCATTGCAGGAGAGGTGCTGAGTGACCGCTGAGATGCTGTGAATAACACGTATCTCAAGAGCCTGTGTCATGCTATAAGGGCATGAAGGAAGTGATCAGTTATACCTCGGTGGAATATTATGACTCACCAATAGGAATGAGGTGAATGACGTATACACCCAATTCCTTACTGTTTTCTTTTTGAAAGTCATTAATATTCCTAACACAGTGAAATTTCAACATCTTGAATGATGCCTTGTGTTTAGCACAGCAATCTGTGAGAGAAATTACATTTTGAACTTTCTTGGCTGGCTTCTTGCATTAGAATGATATAATCATATATGTTATTACATAAAATATTGAAATATTTATTATGTGAAAATGAATTTTATATTATATATATTATAAACATTTCAAATTTTTGTAGCATTCAAAAGTATTTTTTGGTGTGAAAATGAATTCTATATTTCTAATGTTATAAATTAACAATTGAAAAAAATATATAAAACTAGAATTTATTTTAATGTAATATTATTTATTTTTTTATTATTATATTCTTTATATTATACATATCATTTGTTTATTTCAATTCTGTTAAGGTGAACAGCTTTTTTAACATGAATTAATATTTTCATGATGGATTTTCATATTTTAAGACAAAGTCTGAATAGTAAGATAGTTGAAAAAACATGTCAGTTCTCACAGAATCATCCTTTAAAGTTTATGGTGAATAAAGACACCATGTATGTTTAGTCAGTCCTTGGAGAGACGGTTTAGTTTAAATAAAATATAAATATATAATAATGTACTGAACGGGGGCATGCATGGTGTCCTCGTGTTGCTTGGGTACGATGGAGGTCGAAGAAATTCAGCGTGAATTTAGCCTGGACGTCCCGTGGGAGTCATTCCATGCATGCCAATGGCAGCAGTTTATCAGGAATGAAGCATGCTGGCTGTAGGTGCAGTAACACGAAACTTTGAGCATGCAAAACTACTTGCAATGGATATGTGCAACAGGACATGATGTCACACTCTAAGGCTAACAATACATTATCAACATAAAAAAAATCACTTCTCCACAACATTGTAGCCATTCTGGCTGTTTTCTATTGGAGAGGTATTGTCCATAAGACTCATTTCAAGCCATAGGTCATTCTCAAGAGATAAAGAGAAAAGGGGCTGTAGGGCATACAAGGCACACTGAAGATCTATGAGGATAGTTTTGTTCAGCAGTCGAAAACGCAGTTGCATTCTTCAGAATTTCCACTGGGAAAGCGTGAGACAGTTTTGTGTTATTGGATTTCACTGAGCACTCACACTGAGCCAAACAAGCTGTCTTTTTGCATCTAGCTGCAGGCAGTGCTCTCATCAGTATTGTGAGCGACATGGCAATCAGTATGTGCATGTATGCTTGTGCCATGCTGAACTCTTTCCATCTGTGCATGTGACTCCTCCTGCAGGATGAAGAGGGAGCAGTTAGGACCGCATGACTGGCTGTCCATGCCTGTGCCCAGCGGGCAGCACTGGCTCCTGGTGCAAGGCCTGGTGTCCGAGACGGCCTACCAATTCAGTGTCCTGGCCCAGAACAAACTGGGGATGGGCCCGTTCAGCGAGGTCGTCACTGTGAACACACTAGGTTGGCCACCTACATGATACAACTTTCAATGACAAGATCATCTCTGCCTGACAGAAATGCGTTTTATAGTAGGGATAGGATTACAGCTGTTATTCCGACTCCTAACAGTTTTGATACATGATCCTAACTATATTACACTATATTATATATTTTGTTTATACTAGAGATGCACAAATTTAGAAATTTTGGCTGATACTGATAAGCTGATCATTTTAATGTTATTGTCAACAACTGGTAAATGGATATTAGTATTAAAAATACTACAAAAAGAGAAATAAAAAGAAATCAAGAAAATAATAAATGTAGGCATCATAACTTTATATGTAAATATTTATAATGTTTATATTTATTTTGAGATTTGCTGAAGATTTACATTTAACATTAAAATTATTAGTGTTTTTAGGATTTACTTGAATTGAGCATTAGATGACCATAAATAATCAAGTATCCAATATTGGCTTATAGCAATAATTAAAAAAAACTTTTAATAAAGTTTAAAAAAAAATTAAAATAAATAAAATCCTCTAATATATTTTTTAATCCAAATAAATAAATAATTAAGTAAATGAATGAATAAATGAATGAATGAATGATATGGTACTGTAATACTAGCAAATTGATCACTTACATATACACTACTGTTCAGAAGTTTGGGGTCAGCTAAATTTTATTGTATTTATATATTAATATTATTATTATTATTTTAAATACTTTTATTCAGCAAAGATGAATCAAGTTGACCAAAAGTGACTGTACAGCAGTATTATTTTAGTATCACAGTTGATTGGACATGATTTGGAAAGGCACACACCTGTCTATATAAGGTCCCACAGTTAACAGTGCATGTCAGAGCACATAACCAAGCCATGAAGTCCAATGACTTGTCTGTAGACCGCCAAGATCGAGGTACAGATCTGGGGAAGGGTACAGAAAAGTTTCTGCAGCATTGAAGGTCCCAATGAGCACAGTGGCCTCCATCTGTAAATGGAAGAAGTTTGGAACCACCAGGACTCTTCCGAGAGCGGGCTGCCCGGCCAAACTGAGCGATCGGGGGAGAAGAGCCTTAGTCAGGGAGGTGACCAAGAACCCGATGGTCACTCTGACAGAGCTCCAGCATTTCTCTGTGGCGAGAGGAGAACCTTCCAGAAGAACAACCATCTCGGCAGCACTCCACCAATCAGCCCTGTATAGTAGAGTGGCCAGACTGAAGCCACTCCTCAGCAAAAGGCACATGACAGCCATGACAGAGTTTGCAAAAAGGCCTCTCAGACCATGAGAAACCAAATTCTCTGGTCTGATGAAACAAAGATTGAACTCTTTGGCCTGAATGGCAAGCGTCATGTCTGGAGGAAACCAGACACCGCTCATCACCTGGCCAATACCATTCCTACAGTGAAGCTTGGTGGTGGCAGCATCATGCTGTGGGGATGTTTCTGTGGGCATGTTTTTCAGCTGCAGGAACTGCGAGACTAGTCCGTATCGAGGGAAAGATGAATGCAGCAATGTACAGAGACATCCTTGATGATAACCTGCTCCAGAGCGCTTGGGACCTCAGACTGGGGCGAAGGTTCATCTTCCAACAGGACAACGACCCCAAGCACACAGCCAAGATAACAAAGGAGTGGCTACGGGACAACTCTGTAAATGTACTTGAGTGGCCCAGCCAGAGCCCAGACTTGACCCCGATTGAGCATCTCTGGAGAGAACTGAAAATGGCTGTGCACCGACGCTCCCACATGCTGTACATGTCTCCGCATTGTTTTGCAGGAGGCCTGGTATGAGTTCAGAGTGATGGTGGTTATGGAGGACATTGTCAGTGAGCCCAGTAATGTAGTGGGAGTCTCTAGCACAGGTCAGTGCTCTGAGGATTTTTATAGTCCATATGGGTTTTGAAAATGTACTGTGAAATTTACACCACATAAGGTTATACTGTGTGACATTTTTGTCTAAGCCCACACAAACATTAACGGAAGGAGTTGATTCTGAAATAGTGATGGTCTGATGAGACTCTGCTGCTATCTGCTGGATTTAATATGAATTACACACTTTGTTTGAATTGATATTTTTTGGTAATTAAAACAAGTCCATATTTATAAATACTGGATGTATTGTTGTTTTGTTTTTTTACTTCAGTAACTGTATTAATGTTTTAATCTCTCAAACCACAGTTTGCTGAATCCAAATCTAAGAATAAATATTATCCAAAGAACGCAAACGGGGCTTGGCTTAAGCCAGGACTAGACCTTAGTTAATTTAAGATATTTAAGCAACTTTTTCCTTTTTTTAGAAGTCACTTACGCTCACCAAGACTGCATTTATTTGATCACCAATTCAGTAAAACAGCAATATTATGAATTATTGTTACAATTTAAAATAACTTATATTTTAAAGTGTATTTTGTTCTGTGATAAAGCTGAATTTTTAGCAGTCATTACTCCAGTTTTCAGCATCACACAATCCTTCAGAAATCGTTCTAATATGCTGATTTGCTGCTCAAGAAACATTTATTATTATCAATGCTGAAAACCTTGATGTTGTGCCTAATAATTGTGGAAACTGTGATACTTTTTTCAGGATTCTCAAATGAATAGAAAGTTCTAAAGAACAACATTTATTTGAAATGACGGTAGTTTTATTTTTTTATTGTGATTTATATTATAATTGTTTCTGTTTTATTGACAGTCCTTGTTCTGTTACCACTTTCCAGTTATTGAATTTACTAAATAGTAGATAGTGCACTGCAGTCAGAATGTAGTCATTACTTGAAGTCAAAATAAACACGAGGCTGCCATTCAGTCTTTCATTTCTCAAAGCTTCCCACAGGGATTTTGAATGCATTTTGAATGTCTTTATGAATCAAGATAGGCGACTATTTCATTCTGTTTCAATCTTTCAAATCTTTGCTCCTATAAATAAATTCATTTGGAATGCGCTGTATGGTTTATTGTTGAAACAGCCCCCACTAACAATGAAAGAGCTGGTGTGTGTGTGCTGAAGGCGAGCTTGTTTGTATCTTTCAGACTACTTTCCGCCGCCTGAGGTGGCAGACGAGGGGCTGGCGCGGCCGGTGGTGGCAGGCATTGTGGCCACCATCTGTTTCCTGGCAGCAGCCATCCTCTTCAGCACGCTAGCAGGCTGCTTCGTCAACAAACAGAGACGGCGTAAGCTCAAGCGGAGACGAGGTTAGTGGTGCCCTCGCGGCCAGAATATGTCCTCTTTCTTATCCAACCCCTTGCCCTTCATATCATACCCTACTGATGGACTTGCAATTCAAACAGACTGGTAGTTTTTTTTAAATTTATTTATCCAAGTAGTTCTGGAAAACACTGAGAAACTTTCCACTGTTTAACTTTCAAGACATTTCCATAATCGAGGTTTAAATAACAGGCAGTTGCCACAATCGCAAAACTGATGATGCAGAGGAAATTCTGTCAATCTTTCAGCATGCTTTTCATCAGGAAATTAGTTTTTTTTTTTTTTTTTTTTTTTTTTTTATATATATGCGTGTCTGAAATCTCTAATCTGGTGTTCTCTTCAACAGATCCCCCTCTGTCTATAACACACTGCAGAAAGAGCGTGGAGACTCCGTAAGTAATGTCTTTTAAGAACTTCCCCCTTCTCCCCTTGTACCTCGGTTTATTCAGACAGAGAGTGGAGTGTGCTTCATAAATCAAGGCATCCGACAGGCACGCCCTCTCGTTTAAAGATCCTATTAGAAGACACATTAATTACTCCTCAGTGATAGGCCAGTGATTCATGGATGTAGTGTGTTCATGGACTGGACGGTCTAGGTTATTTTAATCAAAGAGGAGTTTCTTAATTTTTCCATTTTAAATAGTTATCTCTTGTGTTTGCTTTAATTTGCATCGATCAATGGTTCTCAACCTTTTAGACTCCAAGGTCCCCTATTGCCTACAGCAATATTTAAAGCCCAACCCCCCCAACCCTAGTTTTATTTTCAAATTTTCTGTAACTCAAATAATTATAATTAAAATGAAAATAATCACATTTCAGGATTTTGGTTTTAGGGCCTGAATGTTCCTCAGGGTAAATAACGAATTTACCCAGTCAAATATTTTAGAGCTTGGCATAACTTGTAAAATGTATATTCAATACACAAAATGCCCATGGTGTTTTAAAATCTTATTAATTTACATGGCTTTTCCAGGTCTGGAAATCACACCTTTAAAATTAGGTTTTCTCATATCCAGGTTTTCCAAGATTGTGTGAATCATGGTTCTTCAAAGGAAACAAACATTGAGGGGGTAAATTAAATTATTATAGCGCTTCATATAATGTTTTTTTTTTTTTAAACCATTGTAAGTCATCTTGAGTCACCTTTGGACGTTTGCTGAGGCCTCCTGGTTGGCCCCAGCCACCTGGTTGAGAATCACTGCTTTACAGCAGATTTATTACTGTATTGGCTTATTCAAATCTTATTCACTAATAATCTCAATCACTAATTTTGGGTCTCGTGATATTTAAAGAGGTATATTTTTTTTTAAATTAACCAACTAAATCTAATAATATAAGCTTCACCTTTGGCAGTTTAAAGACTTCAAATGCTCAATTTAAAGATATTTTCTGTTTGCAGAACAGTCAGAAAAAAAGTAGTATACAATAGTATATTAGTAACATAAGAGGTCTAAAGGTGCAATATCATATAATTGAGGGCATATCCCCAAGCAGAATTTTTGCACAAACGATCTTATACTGTATGTTTACCCAGTGGTCTAATTGTAAAAAAAAAAAAAAATTCAAGGGGGATGTATGGTGAAGTATTTCTTTAGTGGGGCAGGGGTCCTGTAGCTAACTTTACATAATGATTACCAAATTTGTCTAATTTTTATTTACTGCTAAACCTTCACTGCATTTTCAGTGGTGCCTTACAGCATTCATTAATAGCATTTGAAGTTTATTTCTATTTTTCTGTAACTGATTTTGTGTTTTATGGCTGTTAATGAGCAATTTGAGATGTGTGTTTTGCAGTGAGATTTATATAATACTCTGTTATAGGAAAAAACGCTGTTCATGTATTCCTGCTTGATAAATTGACTGTGGTATTGACCTCCTGTCTATGAATGTTCATGGTTTTGATGACACTTACTACCCTGGTAAAGAAAGTACTGTAGGTTTGGGTTGAAAATCATCCTCATAGATCACTGTGTGTGTGTGTGTGTGTGTGGTTTCTGCACACAGACACCGATTCAGAGTGACCCTGCTGCTTTTGAGTTCCCATGGCAACAATCAGACACTGAAAAGAGTGTAAAACAGGCTCGTACAGTACAAGCACTGTAAATGATATGCAACATCTGTGCAACATGTGATTTGAAGTGCATAGTTGTGTTAAAAGCTCCGGTATTTCTCCGGGATACCGCTGCAACAAACTTGTCTTATCTTAACTTACATTTTACACTAACTCTGTTGTTTGTCTTTCTTCCCAGTGCTAATAACAGTGGACATCGGTGATTAGGATTTTCTTATTTATACATTTAGTAGTATTTATTCATATTTCTTCATAATCGAATATTTAAAGTATTATCCTATCACAGTATTGAATACTGCTTTAATCAAGCAAGAAGCTGTTTTACTTGATACATCGTCTGATGCACTCTAATGCTTCAGAAAACCAAACGATGAGATTTAACTGACTAGAGCGCATTTAACAGTGCTCCTCCTTAATAATGCATTTAGACTAGTGATGTCTCATATATTACATTTATAGTACTTGACTCCTATGTGCATCTTTCAGTAATCTAAAGCTAAGTGGGCTAAATCTGGTATGATGCCAGTCATACCCTGCATAGTCGTGACATTCAAAAACATGCAGCTATTGCAGTTCACTTTTTCATGATATGCTGGGGTATGGTATCTCTTTGTGGCAGTGCTTTAGTATTGAATTTATTCTTAAATTGTGTTTTAGCTAGTTACGTAACTGCTTTTATCTGCAGTATTGTTATAGCATCAAGTATTAATTTTTCACAAAATATACTTTGAGTTATTGTGCTACTTTTTACATAGGCTTGTGCTTTGCAAAATCATACAGTGGAGGCAAAAGTTTGATGTCACATTGAAAATCTTGTATTCAGTGTCAAGAAAGAGTCATTTTAAAAAGTACTCTGCTCAAATGCAACTGAGCTTTAAATTATGGCATATTTTGCATTTGAGCCCATTCTGTAGTGAACAATAGCATTTTTTTTACTTATGATTTACAGTTTATTGTATATAAAAGGTGTGCATTACAGTTGACCCCTAGATGAACAGTTTACAGTTGTTTTTATGACCAAGTCATTCTCCTCATGCTATTGAGCCTTAAATTTGTGTCTGAGCCCATTCTGTACTGAAAAAATTGATATTTTTTTTTTAAACAAATGATTTACAGTTTATTATAATAAATATAAAAAATGTATAAGGTGTGCATTGTAGTTGACACCTAAATGGACCTTTTACAGTTGTTTTTATGACTAAGTCATTCTCAAATGCTATTGACGTTAGAAAAGTGTAAATTAATATTGCATGTAACCTTAGAGACAGTCCCTAAATTTGCAAATGTCCAACGTCAAGCCAACTTTATGCCAGTACTAAGCAGACTGTGTTTGTCAATACTTGTGACTTTGACCAATGTGTTTTTGTGTCGCATTGTGTTTCTGTGACCAATTAATGCAGAAAACCAACTAATTACAAAGGTTTCACATACTTTCTTACCACTGTATTATGTCTGACTTTGTTCACATACACACAGCACATTCACTTGAAGCGATTATATACTACTGTGTATAGCGACTCTCTACTGCCTAATTTTTTTTTGTCTCAATGTAAATTATCACCCAGTTCTAATGTGCTAAATGTGACTGTAAGGCATGAAGTTAGTAGAATATTATAAACATAAACATTATAATTTTCTGTAAAGCTGCTTTGAAACAATCAGTATTGTGAAAAGCATTATGCACATTCATTTTGAAAAAAAAAAAAGTTTCATATATATCCTCTATAATATACACTACACAAACCTTTTTGCTTACTAGACTTCCATTATAAGTGTATTTAGCCGCATTCCATTTATAAATTAAAGGACTCAGAATTGTTGGTGGAAACTGACAGCCTACCAAACTTGCAGTCCATAGACTTTAGGTTGTAAATAACCTGGTTCGTACCTTTAATTTGTTAGTTTTAACGTGTCCTGCAGAGGGCGACCCAGCACCTTTAATTTGATTATAAGGCAGCGCATTAAGAGCTGTGGAATCCTCTTCACAGAACTGGGTCAAATTTGTCATAACACTAGCTTTTATACGCAACTAAGCAAGCAGACTTTAAATCATATTTAGCTTTTTAATAAAATTTCTATCGTATTTCACACACAATCATCCCTGAATCAAATTTAATACAGCTCTCTGAACTCTTATCAAGTCACCTATTACATGGCTGACCCTGCGCTTTGAGATGAATCCGATGGTGTGTGAGATGAGGGTGTGGATGTGAGTTTTGATTCTCTTGTAATGCAGTCACATCTCTATTTAGTTAAGCCTCCCCAGCTTACTCTGTTCTTCTTAGTGTTATTCTCACTCCTGATGGGTCTCTCTGGTTGATCTGCTACTTTTCTTCCTAGTATTTTTTTCCTCCACAGGTCCACATCTCTGTCTATCTGTCTATCTGTCATGCATTTATAATGTATATGGTAAACACACTATCTGTTAATTGTGTGTATATATATATATATATATATATATATATAATATTTCATAGCTTCAGTTTTATAATAATATGAAAGGGATCATATGATGTTGCTAAAAAGAACATTGTGTGTATTTGGTGTAATGAAATGTTTATGCAGTTTAAGGTTAAAAAAACACA